CTACCCTTATTTTTATTTTTCCTTCCTTAAGCTTGCTTTGGGTTCATTTTGTGCTTCTTTTTTCCAATTTCTGGAAGTAGAAACTTGGATTATTGATTTGAGACCTTTCCTTATGTATAATGTAAGCATATAATGTGACAATTTTATTTTCAGCACTGTTTTTTAGCTATGTCCTTCATGTTTTGATATGTTGTTCTAATTTTCATTTAGTTCTATGTATTTTTAAAAATCTCCTTTGCAGGGCACCTGGGCGGTTCAGTTGGTTAAGCATCTGACTCTTGATTTTGGTTGAAGTCATGATCTCAGGGTTGTAAAATCAAACCCTGCAAGGGACTCCATGCTCAGTGCAGAGTCTGCTTGGGATTCTCTTTTTCCATCTCCCTCTGCCCCTTCCCCTGCTCATGTGCACGCACGTGTTCTTTCTCTCTCAAATAAATAAATAAAATCTTAAAAAAAAATCTCCTTTGAGACATCCTCTTTGACCCATGGATTATTTAGAAGAGTATTGTTTAGTTCCTGTGGGTTTAGAGATGTTCCTGTTGTCTTTTTGTTATTGATTTCTAGTTTGATTCCATTATGGTCAGAAAACACACTGTATGTTTTCAATTCTTTTATATTTTATGAGGTTTATTTTATGGCCCATGATAAAAATGTGGTTTATTATCTTGGTTAATATTCCATGCATGCTTGAAAAGTATGTGTATTCTGCTGTTTTGAGTGAAGTGTTCTATATATGCCAGTTAGATACTGTTGATTGATTATGTTCTTCAGATCTCTATTTTTGCTGATTTTCTGTCTAGTGGTTCTATTGGGTGCTGAGGGAGGTGGAATTGAAGTCTCCAACTATAAAAGGGGGTTTGTTCCTTCTTTCAGCTTTATCAATTTTTGTTTCATGTAATTGAAGACTATAGTTTGGTGTGTATACAGTTAGGATCATTATGTCTTCCTGGTGAATTGATCCTTCTAGCATTATGTAATGTCCCTCTTTGCCTATACTAACTGTTTTTTCTGAAGTCTACTTTGTCAGATATTAATGTAGCCATTCTCATTGGTGTATTAGAGGCCACCTGTTCTCAGGTGGGGCACCAGAAGTTCCTGTGGATCATATTCATTGTTGTCCTTGAGCCATGGTGAGCTCTGGGGATGGCTCTGTGATGCAGGACAGCCAGGATGCACAACCACCAACTCCCTTCTCAAAGTCTCTAGGTCTCTTGCTGCTCTACCTAGAAGTGTTTTTGCTGCCATACAGAATGACTCTGGCCACAGAGTTTTCTGGGTGGATGATCTTTCAGTGTTAGAGCATATCTGCTATCCCCCCAACAGCGATTCAAGACAAAGCCCCTGTCTAGTGTTTTGATGACCTCCCATATCTGAAATGACAAACTTAAAGGCCTTTAAAGTGTAGTCCACCTGGCCTTTCTGATCTCAGTCTCAGCTGCTACGGAAGCTAATTAATTTGAAATTGTAACTCCAATCCTTTGATGCAGGCAGGGTTCCAACTAATTTATTTTCCCAAGAAAGAGATACAGGGCAATGGTCCCAGGAATGTGGAATGGTATTGTGGGTTTCTGGCCTCCTCCAGCTGGGCTGTCTGATGGTAGTGCCCATGACTCTCATTGTGGTTTGGAATTGGGTGGAGAACAAGACTTGCCAGAACAAATCCTGATCCATAAAGTTGGCTGACACCCCTGAGGAGGTCCACACCACACGGAGCCTCACCAGCCTGTGGATGTGTTGGTGGGGAGACAAGGATATTGTTGGGATGATATTGCCAACAGATTTGAATGATTTGAACACAGTGTACTAGTTCACAGTGTACACTAGTTCTATCAACACAGTATACTAGTGTACAGAGAGGATGCAGTCTTTGGAAGATGTTTATGACATTTACCCCTGAGACCTTTCTGGACTGCATAGTTAGTCCATTCCTGATTGGCAGCCAACGGATTTATTGACATGACCTCTGCTGGAATCTATAGGTCACAACATGACCTTCTTATAAGCAGAAGGCATCAGCCTTAGGCTTGGGTGATTATAAAGCCATGGGCTGCTTGGTCAAGGGATAAGTATAGCCTCTTTTTTTTTTTTTTCTTTTCCTGGCTAATAGGAAACCATGAATGTAACTCCTTTTGTTGACCTTTTAAGACCCTGGGGCTTACTATGGCTTGACACAAACCCATTTGAAGGAGGAAGCTTGGCAGGGGCGGTTGTGAAGTACAGAGCAGCTCAGTGAAAAAGAGCAGGTTGGTGTCTGAGTCCTGGCCACAGCTCTGTCAACTACAGTGGAATTCATTTACTCTGGCGGTGTCCATGTGTCTTGTAAAGCAAGGTTGGTAAGTATTTTTTTAAATTTTATTTATTTATTTGAGAGAGGGAACAAGAGGGAGAACACAAACTATGGGGAGGGACAGAGGGAGAAGGAGAAGGAGACTGCCCACTGAGCAGGGAGCCCGACTTGGGGCTCGATCCCAGGACCCCGAGATCACGACCTGAGCCGAAGGCAGCCGCTTAACCGACTGAGCCACCCAAGTGCCCCAGTTGGTAAGTTTTAGGAATGCACTGCTGGCCACTGGGAATACCCAATATCTTCCAAGCTGTTGTGCTGTAAGGTTGTTGAAAGTTCTGGATATGTCTTCAGTTTTCCCACTGAAGGCTGGTAGCTGCTTAGGAACACATTATATTTGGGATTTGGGCCTGAAATGTTTTCTTCCTGATAGCTCCATGACTCTTTTCAGGCCATTTAGGTACCGGCTTAAACTACCTCCTCAGAGAAGACTTCTTTGACCATTCTGTCTAAAACAGATGTATGTGTATATATGTATGCACATATGTAAGCACACATACACACATGCACACACACACTACTCCATCCCTCTCTATTTTTCTTCACAGGACTTATAACTATCATACATTATATTATATCTCTATTATTGATTTTTTTGTCTCCCCAGTTAACAGTTTAGACACGTGAAGGTAGGGAATTTTTCTACCTGTTTACTGCTACAGTCCCAGCATTTATAGAGCACATAGTAGGTACTCAATAAATATTCAAGTAATGAATGATTGAAACAATCAGCATGGCTTGGATGAGAATTGGGATGTGTTGCCACGGAGTGGTAGGTTTTCCAGCTGGAAAACTCCACGGTGAACTGAGGCTGACTTTTCAAGGGGCAATTGGGCTCAGGACTCAGAGTCTAGAGAGTGCCGAGCACAGTTGAGGAAGGGAGGTTTTCAAGGACTGGGGACGAAGATGGTAAAATCAATGAACCAGGGTCTGATACCCATCACCATCTGCAGTTCCTCCCCCCCTCCTTCCCACTGCCCCTTCTCTTCCTCCTTTCATGGAATCAGAAACCTTTACAGGCTGTGGTGATCAGAAAGGCTTCACAAGGGGCGCTGGGTGGTTCAGTCAGTTAAGCAGCTGCCTTCAGCTCAGGTCATGATCCTGGAGTCCGGGATTGGGATTGAGCCCCTTGCCCGGCTTCCTGCTCAGTGGGGAGTCTGCTTCTCCCTCTCCCTCTTTTCCTCCCCCTGCTTGTGCTCTCTCTTACTCTCTCTCAAATAAATAAAATCTTTAAAAAAAAAGAAAAAAGAAAAAAGTAAGGTTTCACAGAAGGGGTGAGACTTAAATCAGATTTGAAAGACAGTCTTTAAGCCACATTTTCTCTCAAAGTCAACAGGGTTGGAACCAGATGTGAAAATATCACATTTCTGGTTGTATTTTACAAGTTGCTTTTTTAGTCCTCTTTGTTTTTCTCTGTTAGTATAAAAAACTCAGATTTGGCTCTCTCTTATTGTAATTCTTGTTCTAAGATCCACCTTAATTAGCAAGTACATTTAAGGCTAAAAAATATTATTTCTTTTTCCCAGGATGAAGTAAACCAGATCATGGAAACCAATCTGTGGCTACGTCACGTATGTGTCCTTCCTTTGGATGTATCTTACTCATGTGCCAGGCTAACAATGTCTAATGGATAAATTTCACTAGCATTCCCTCTTTCCATCACCAAATTATGACAGAGCATAAAATATTATCTGTCTCCAAACCCTAAAATTCAGCTCTGGTGACAGCTGCTTGATGCAAACTTCACAGGTGCAGAAACATGGTGATAAAGTTCTCTGGGATATAGAGATTTGTCCCTTCTGGTTTCTGCCCTCAAGTCTCCTATTTTTATCTGTAACTTGAGCCCCAGAGTCAGATGCTTGCCCACTCTTTGATCCTGTTGCACCGGGCCTAGGGAAGTCAGGAACTGAGTATGAGAGTACCTGGGTTAGATTCCCACTAGCGGGTTTTATCAGTTATACCATCTCATGCTTCCTTCTTGCCTTAATCTTTACACAGACTTTGTAACAAACTCATCATCATACACTTGAACTGTCTTTTTAATATTAGAAATGAGTTGCTATTCCAGTGTGAATATAGTCTATAGAACATAGAAGTTGAGTTTATAAACTTGGCCAGCTAATTAATAATCAATAGTTAATTATCTAAGTCATATTTGCCAAAATCAGCTCAGCTACCTAGCCCCCTATTCCACATGGATTTACTCTCTCAACTTTTGATAGAAACCAATGTATTCTTGGGCGCCTGGGTGTCTCAGTTGTTTAAACTTCTGCTCAGGTCATGATCCCAGGGTTGAGGGATCAAGTCGGCTTTGCTCCCTGTTCAGCGAGGAGTCTGCTTCTCCCTCTGCCCATTCCCCTGTTTGTTCTCTCCTTCCCTCCCTCTCTCTCTCTCACACACAAAAAAAGAAAGAAAGAAACTAATGTACTCTTTATTTACTTTTTTAAGTAGGCTCCGTGCCCAGTGTGGGGCTTGAACTCATGACCCTGAGATCAAGAGTTGCATGCTCTACTGACTGAGCCAGCCAGGTGCCCTCTAATGTACTCTTTAAATTAGAACTTACTTTTCCCAAAAAACCCTGCTAAACCAACATAGAATTAACATTGGAAGAAAGTTACTGAGAATTTTTTATTGAACTGACTTCTTCTGCCTTTAGATCTGGAATGATTATAAATTGCGCTGGGACCCAGTGGAATATGATGGCATTGAGACTCTACGTGTTCCTGCAGATAAGATCTGGAAACCTGACATTGTTCTCTACAACAAGTATGGGCTTTTGGCAGTAGTCGTCTCTTTCCAAAGTTGCCTTCGGTACAGCAAAGGGGGCGTTACTAATGGTGTCTAGTTTATTTTGCAGTGCTGTTGGCGATTTTCAAGTTGAAGGCAAGACAAAAGCTCTTCTTAAATATGATGGCATGATAACCTGGACTCCTCCAGCTATTTTCAAGAGTTCCTGTCCTATGGATATCACTTTTTTCCCTTTCGATCATCAAAATTGTTCCCTGAAATTTGGTTCCTGGACATATGACAAAGCTGAAATTGATCTTCTAATCATTGGATCTAAAGTGGATATGAATGATTTTTGGGAAAACAGCGAATGGGAAATTGTTGATGCTTCTGGCTATAAGCATGACATAAAATACAACTGTTGTGAGGAGATATACACAGATATAACCTATTCTTTTTACATTAGAAGATTGCCAATGTTTTATACCATTAATCTCATCATCCCCTGTCTCTTTATTTCATTTCTAACCGTGCTGGTCTTTTACCTTCCTTCTGATTGTGGAGAAAAGGTAACACTTTGTATTTCAGTTCTGCTTTCTCTGACTGTGTTTTTGCTGGTAATCACGGAAACCATCCCGTCCACGTCTCTTGTGATCCCACTGGTGGGTGAGTACCTACTGTTCACCATGATCTTTGTCACCCTGTCCATTGCGGTGACTGTGTTCGTGTTGAACATACATTATCGCACCCCAACAACACACACCATGCCCAAGTGGGTGAAGACGGTTTTCCTCCAGCTGTTACCCCAGATCCTGATGATGAGGAGGCCTCTGGACAAGATGAGGGAGACAAGTTCTGATAAAAACTCCAAAGGCATTTCCAGTAGGTCCACCAAAGTCAACTTTGATCATTGCAGAGAGACCAAACTTCCTAAAGCATGCTGCCGCTGTCGTAAATCGAGTGAGCTTGCCGCCAGCAAGAGAAGATTAAGTCATCAGCCTTTACGATGGATGACTGAGAATTTAGAGCGCTCGCCTGATGTCGAAGATGTAATTAATAGTGTTCAGTTCATAGCAGAAAACATGAAGAACCAAAATGAAACAAAGGAGGTAGGTATGTGGCTCCTCTGGCCTGTCCACCCGTAGCAGGCTTAGAGGCACTTTAGAGAGCAGGGCGGATCTTCAGCGTGAGTTCTGTTTCTAAGGGAGCATTACTCTAAGACCGAGGTTGGTTATTATGCAGTTATGGGTGAAGTGGCCTGGGGGTTGGGTGGAGTAAACCATAGTCTCACTGCAAACCTCCACCTCTGGAAATGTTAACTCCAGTGAAATCTGGTTAAAATAAACATTCAGGACAACCTTGGTTAATGAAAGTGCTTCTTAAAAACAGTGGCAGAGGAAAGGGTGAATGGGGAGATCTGCCCCACCGAGCAGCCTACAGTCTGAGAGTACTGGGGGAGGGGACTGAGTCTGCGATTCCAACCCCACTTCTTCTACTGGAGATTTTTTTAGGTGCGGATTGAATGAGCCTCAGGGATATTTTTAGCATCAACATAGTCTGCTTTTGTTGCCCAGAGTAGCAGCAAGGACCTCCCCGAGCCTCCAAAGAGAGAGCTCAAGAAAATCATGCTAGTTTTCCATTTCATCAGGATGACTAGCTGAGGGCATCTGAAAACCTGTGTCAGGTGTCTGGGTTTGACCTCATACTGCAGCTGCCGGTATCCGTATCTCCTAGAGAAAGGATGTCTCGAGACCTGAAGTCTGCCCCATTGGTGCAGGGGACAGTACTGTGATTGCGAGTCACAAGGCAGGGGTGGGGGATGTATCATGGGACAGGTGAGCCCAGAACTGTACCTTCATGGTGACAACTTCATAAAATGGAGGGAAGAGTAGTTGACTTAAACACCACTGGGTAGGGCCCTCAAGACACCACCTGAGACGTAGGCCTCAGGCATAAGTTGGAGGCATGATCAATTGGAAGCCAGAATCTGGAAGCGTTACAGGATTTTTTTCCTCCGTCGGTGCCGCGGTTCTTGGTCACGTTGCTGTTTTAATCTGATTGACCCTCCCCGTGCCTGTCATCCAATCAGGTTTCTGTCACATGGGAAAGGGTGGAGGGCTCCTTCCAGGGTGGGGTAAAATCCTTTTAAGGGTGGTTCCTTTTAGGGCGAAGGGGCGGGGGGCTGGTCCCCGCCTGCCTGCCTTCCAACTATACTTCATCAGAAGGACATGAGAAATGCAATGAACTCCCCACAACCAGCATGACTTTGCAGTCTAGAGGGCTGCCTATTCCTGAGAAGGGGGCCCTCCATCATTCCTCACGTCCTGCACCCCCTGCCCCAAACCCATTTCCCAGACTAGCCAAGGAGTCAAAATATCCAGTGGTGCCAATGGCAAAAGTTGAGCTATCTCGGGAATGCTTTTTGCAGGAAAAGACCTTTGTGCTCACTCGGTAGCCATCTGCATGAGGCATGGAAGGGCGTATCCATGCTCTTCAGACAAAGTTCTGTGAGCTATACAGGCGACATGGCTTAACCAGGTTAAAACCGATATTTGCTTTAAAAATTGCCAGGGAAGTCTTCTTTGAAAAGGAAGCAGCTTATTTATGAGACAAAGCACATTTCCTATGGTTTCAATATATTTTTTAAATTTTTTTACTTTTTGTTTGCCTTTCAGGTAGAAGACGACTGGAAATACGTGGCCATGGTGGTGGACAGGGTATTTCTTTGGGTGTTTATAATCGTCTGTGTGTTTGGAACTGCGGGGCTATTTCTACAACCGCTGCTAGGGACCACAGGAAAGTCTTAAGGATGTATTTTCCTTTTAGCTTTTGAAACTTACAGATGCTGTATTTGTTCTTTGTTCCCGACCATCCGGAAAGGGACATAAAGCTTTCCATCCAAGTCCCCCATATACTGAAGCTGATGGCTAGATGGAAAAAGAGGACTTTATTGCAAATCAGGAGGCTGAATGCCCTCCTTTGTAGCACGGAGGAGTACTTTAAGATGTTTTATAACACTGGAGCCCAGAGTTGGCAGCACCCACAAGCTTCTCTTCTCTTGTACATGTCTGACTTCCAGGGACACGAATGACCCATAATACAGTGAACCATGTAATCAACATCAGGCCATGCTAAAAAGGGGTACCCTTGTACCTCCAGTTTCCACTGCTTATCATCCAGACAGGAAGCTCCAGCTTGCACCTTGCAGCAGCGCTTGGGAACTATTACACACTGACTTTCTTAGGCATGCCTCTGGGCTGTACTCAGACACATCAGCATTATTTTATATATTAATTGGCAAAAAGTAATAGCAGGTCATCAGGGTGTATCTCAGCAGGCTGCGTCTAATTAGCATTCATCCGGCAAGAAACTGGAGTGGCAGCCCAGCACTGTGCTGGGCATTGTGAAGGCAACAAAACAGGTCCTGTCCCCAAGTGCTTGCAGCTTTTTAAGAAAAGTCATTAACACCAAGATCTCCAGGACCAGGTAGCGCGTGGGGAACGTGACTAGAACAGCTGGAGTAGGAAAGCTCGACGTGCTGTGGCCACACGAACGTGAAGCAACTTCTACCGTGGGTGAAAGAGCTGGCTGTTCTTGTCAGCTGTTTCCATTTGTTTGTTGTAGCTGAGATTCCAGATAAAGTTATTTCTTCTGTAAGAAATTGTGTTCTGGTACCTTTTGGAGCAATACCTTTTCTGAGAGGGACACTTTGGGAATTCTGTTTCAGTCCACTCTAATTTATCTTCGTATTTGTTATATTTAAAAAATGTATTCCAAAGCAGAAAAAAATAAATCTACTTAACAAAGGCACTCCTTTTGTTCTTGCCTTTCCCCATCTTGTCCTCGTCTAGGCATGCACATAATTTTACACTTCAATTTTACCTTTCAACTTTGTATTTTGATGTTTTCTCAAAACATGTCAGCAGTATTTCTCCGTGATGTTACATAGGCTTGAATGTGGGGTGTCCCTCTCGCGTGGGGGCCGGCGGCGCGTGGTGAGAGAATTCAAGGGAGGCAGAACAAGGGAGATGGCAGTTTATCGAATACACCTCAAGGCAGCTGAGGGCAGGACAGCAGAGGGAGACTGTCTGCCATGAGGCAGTGCCGAGGGGCTCTAGGTATAGGGCGGAATGAGGGAGGCATGGAAACGAATAGGATTTTCCCTGTTTTGGTAACTGTGCCTGGGTGTAAGTAGCCCATTGGTCAACTAGGGCCTACGGCCATTTCGAGGTGGGTGGCTTCCCGAGCCTGCTTGCACTCAGCCGCGTGGTCACCGGGGGCCCTTGGGCCTTGCTCGGGTTTCCGTTGCTCAAGCCTGCGGCCTACCAGTGGCCTCTACATTGACCTATACTTTTTATGATTGCACAATCTCCGTTGTGTTGATACACCAGAACTATTACGTCATGCCCTTTCTTCCTTGTCTATCTCAACCAGGAGCCTCAAGGCACTCTGTGGCACACCGGGCAGAGGTCGTGAACTTGAATTTCTCTGTTTTAAAGTATTTTTACTGCCTTTCATATTTTTTTTTTTATCTATATTTTTTATCTTTCTTATAATGGTTTCGTTTACTTGATACCTTTTTTTTTTTTACTATTAAGCCAAATTGATATTTCATATTATTAGTTAAAAAGTTTTATTTATTTTTTAAAAGACGTTATTTATTTGAGAGAGAGAGTACCAGCAGGGGAAGGGGTAGAGGAACAAATGGACTCCGCGCTGAGCACAGAGCCCTGAGCTTGAACCCAGTGTAACAGGATTTTTTTCTCCATTGGTGCCTGCGGTTCTTGGTCACGCTGCTTCGAAGAATGAAAACGTAGACCAGACAGAGTGGTGAGCAGCAAAGCGAGGTTTATTGAGCGATAGAAAAGTGATAGTACAAAGCTCCAGAGGAGGGAGGGGACCCAAGAGGGTGGCCACCGGAATTTCTAGGTCTAGGGTTTTTAGGGCTTGTTGGTGGGCTGTTTGAATCTGATGAATCCCCCCCGTGCCTGTCATCCAGTCAGGTTTCTGTCATATGGGAAAGGGTGGAGGGCTTCTTCCAGGGTGGTATAAAATCCTTTTAAGGTGGTTTCTTCTTAGGGTGGGGGGGGGCCCTTGTCCCCACCTGCCTGCCTTCCAACTATCCTTCATCACCAGGACCCTAAGATCATGAACTGAGTCGAAATCAGACACTTAACTGACTGAGCCACCCAGGCACCCCTAAAAAGTTTTAATAGTGGCAAAATGCACATAACAAAATTCACTGTCTTCACCATTTTAAGTATGTGGTTCAGTGGTATTCACCACCATCCATCCACAGAACTCTTTCATCTTGTAAAACTGAAACTCTGTAGCCATTAACAGCAGCTCATCCTATCCCTACCACTCTGTCTGCTCCTGGCAACCACGCTTCCACTTTGTCTCTCTGAATCTGACTACTTTAGGGACCTTATATGAATGGAATCATATAGGATTTGTCTATTTCTAACTGGCTTACCTCACTAAGTATAGTTTTCAAGGTTCATCCATATTTTAGTATGTGTCAGCATGGTTTTGCTTTTAAAAAATAATTAATTTTAATTGAAGTACAGCTGACTAAGAATTTATTTGCTTCTGGAGGCTAAATAATATTCCATTGTATGTACTTACAACATTTTGTCTAACCATTCATCCATCAATGTACATTTGAGTTTCTTCTACCTTTTAGCTATCAGGAATGACGTTGTTATGAATAGGTGTGTACAAACATCTCTGAGTTTCCATTCTTTGGAGTATATATCCAGAAGTAGAATTGTTGGGTTATATGGCAGTTCTATTTTTAATTTTTTGAAGAGCCGCCATGCTGTTTTTCCACAGTGGCTGCACCATTTTACATCCCCACCAATAGTGCACAAAGGTTCCATTTTCTCCACATCCTTGCCAACATTTGCTATTTTCTGCTTTTTTTGCCCCCTTATAGCAGCCATCCCAATGGGTGTGAAGTGATACCTCCTTGTGGTTTTGATTTTCATTCCCCTAATCATTGGCATCTTTTCATGTGCTTACTGTACATTTGTATTTCTTCTTCTTCTTCTTTTTCTTCCCCCCCCTTCTTCTTCTTCCTCCTTTCTTCTTCTCCTTCTTTGCATATCTTTTTTTGGAGAAATGTATATTCAGGTCCTCTGCACTTTTAAAAATCAGGTTGTTCTCTGTTGTTGTTGAGTTGTAGGAGATCTTACATATTCTGAACATTAACCCCTTATTAGATATAAAAACAGGAATTGTAAGAAATGCAAAGCAGGAAGATGGGAGGAAAATGCTCCCAGCCAGGAGCAGGGAGACCCCAATCCTGACTTCTTTACACATCCTTTTATACATGAACATACCTCAGACTTTCCAGCCCAACTTGCCAGAATTTGCTCAGTGATCCTCAGAGGAGAAAGGATCTTGTACTCACAGGTAAGCAAACCAGCAATATGGATTTAAAAGAAAGATAAGCATGTGAATAAAAGGGAAGTCACAGCGTTTGTTCAGAAGAACAAGGGGAAGCATGAAGATAGTAAAACATAAAGAATTCTTTGTTAACTGACATTTTTAACTTTTAGAATTGACTTGAAATTACCCTGGTTATGATTTCATTATCAATATCTGTGTGTGTGTGTGTGTGCATGCGCCCCTGTGCACATGCACACACTCACACAAGTGCACATGCATGGGAGTGTCTGTGTACCTGAACTATAAGATCAGTGACTTTTTTTTTAAAAGATTTTATTTATTTATTTGACCGAGAGAGTGAGAGAGCATAAGCAGGGGGAGCAGGAGGAGAGGGAGAAGCAGGCTCCCCCCTGAGCAGGGAGCCCGATGCGGAGCTCCATCCCAGGACCCTGGGATCATGACCTGAGCTCAAGGCAGATGCTTAACCATCTGAGCCACCCAGGCACCCAAGATCAGTGACTTTTAGGGATGGAATGGAACTCAAAGATTGTTTAGCCCAACTCTTTTTTTTTTTTTAATCTCAAAAGGTAGAGTGGCTTGCCCATGATCACACAGCTAACAGATGCCACATCTCCAGATTCTTTCCTCATTTCCCTGACCCCAGTACAATTCAGTGGCTCTTGTGAGAAGAGAATCACCTGAGCTGGTCCATCTTCTTCCCTCAACACCCCCACGCTTGCCTTACAAGGCGGGGAGAGCCTCGCACTGGCAGGAAGGAAGACATGTAATGTAAGTGAGATGTCAACCAGGTTAGAGAGATGAAGCTGCACATACTCCCTTATTTGGGGAAGGTCGTATTAGTGTCGAAGTTTTTATTTTAACAGTGACAGGGGATACAGGTATGGGCTTGGGTGCTTAAACTTCTGATTTTTAAAGAAAAACTAAAAATCCAGCTTTTTATATAAAGTCTCCAAGTTTTAAATTGTGGCAACTAAGTTAAGAAACAAGAATAAAATCTTTGTGTTAGCCAAACGAGCCCAGTGTGCTGGGCCAAGAGTTTGTAGCAAGGCCAGGAGTTTGCAGCGTTGACTGAACAAACTGGGGCTTGATTCCTTCTGTTGGGTGAGGTCCTACCAGCGGGGACCAAGTCTGGGTGGAGAAAAGTATGAGAAGTGGGAAGGGAGGAGGTGGACTCTGAGAACCAGGAAGCACCCTCTGAGGGCCTAGGGAGCATCTCCTTGGGATGCCTCACCCAGCCCCAGCCCCTTGCAGGGCCTAGTGTGTGCCTCCTGTGTGCAGTGAGGGGACAGGGCAATAAGAACAGCGGAACAACATCTGAGCATCTCCCTTTGCCCATCCCCCCCCTTTTTAAAGATTCCATTTATTTAATTGACAGAGAGAGAGAGAGAGAGAAGGAACACAAGCAGGGGGAGTGGGAGAGGGAGAAGCAGGCTTCCTGCTGAGCAGGGAGCCCGATGCGGGGCTTGATCCCAGGACCCTGGGATCATGACCTGAGCCGAAGGCAGTCACTTAACCAACTGAGCCACCCAGGCGCCCCTGCCCATCCCCCCTTTTGACTTTGAACTGTCAACACACACACACACACACACACTCTCTCTCTCTCTCTCTAATGTTATTGTGCCCCCTTTAC